AATTTAATGATATTCTATCTTAGTATACGAAAAACGATTCTGTGTTATTATTTCAACTCATAAGAACTCTATTTTAACAAATTCTAATAATTACATTTTTTGTCAAAATTTTACATTATCGTGAGAATATTAACTCTAATAGTAATTTGAAAATTTTTAGCGCAGCTAACTTACATTCCGAAATACGAAGGTTTATACACTATGTATACAGATGTTTTTTCATGTGGTTCAAACTACAATATCACAGCAAGCACTAACTTATTAACAATTGGTAAAATATGCACCGAAGTGAATCACCTTGAGGGGCCTCTATAAGGTTGTAATTTGACGGTGTCACGACGAGGGAAGAGTATGGAATACATTATCATTATCACCCAAATACGCCGTGAGAGATTAACATCAGGGATTCCATTTAAAAACAAACAAATAGTTTTACGCGAATCTGAATCGATATGATGTTGGTGCTGTGGCGGAACTGGTGGTGGGGCCCGGGGATTGATCCCCGGTTGTAAAATCTTAGTGGGCGTAATTCCTTTGAGGCTCTTCATTTAATGTTTGGTGTTAGAAGTTAAGAAAATATTTTTATTTCACATAATTTGTTTATGAAGTGATAACGTTTGAAGAAATAAAAACGAAAAATAAAATCATACATGGCATAAAATAATCAATTGTCATTCTATTATTAGAGCGCGTGGCTGCGCAATCGGCGTACATCGACATATTATTATAGAATATAGATTATATACTATAGAAAGTAGAGACAGACTAATACTAAAAAATTAAATATAAACGTATAATATCAATAATAAATATAAATATAATAAATATGAATGTTATCGTCGACGGATGGCGACAGCGGAGAAAAATAGTAAAACATTAAATACCACAGTGATTTATCACTGATAAATAATATCAATTATTATTCAATCACTTCACATTAATTGTTATAGTATATGGTAGTGTGACGTCATGATAATGTTATCACACCGCGATAAGATTTATTGGTTTCAAACAAACACATTCCACATTGGTTTTTCAAAGTGAAATACAGTTTTGAATGTACTACTTAGTATTTACACTTAATTGTAAGACAATAATACTAGTGTTACTAAATTAGTGTTAATACTGATCATGGCAGCGTCTAGTTGGATCAAATTGCATTGTGTTTATGCATTTTTTAAAGAAGAAGTAAAGTTAGTCAAAAGGGGTGAAAATGCATATGAAAGTGGTTATGTGAAGGAATGTATTTATGTARACAATAATTTAAAAGGTGTAGTTAAAGCTAGTATGAGGGATCAAATATACTGTATATAAGTAAACCAATGAATAATCATTTCTGTTATAGTTGTGTTTAGTATTTTAGGTAGCTATAGATATAAGATAATTTCTAGGTATTAACAATAATGTAGTTAGCATTAAGTGGCTAGTAGTTCGTCGGAGTTGCTTGTCCATTTCTTCAACTCCAGACCAAACTTGGTTAGATTATGATCGAGTCTGGACTTGAGCAACAGTACTTCTTCCACCGTATCTGCACTCGTACAAATATCATCCATATATGTCTGCTTTAAATGTGCTTGACTAACATCTGGAGCATGGTCAACTACCAAAGAAGYYATCTGCTTAATAACTCTAAGAGCTAGGAACGGAGTACAAATTAATCCGTAAGTCACTGTATTTAACTCAAATTCCTTTAGTTCTTCCTGTGGTGATTTTCGCCAAAAAATGTGCTGTTAAGGTCGATATTTGGGATGAATCTAAAACTGTCTGTACATCTTACAAATATCTCCAGTGAAGGCTATGCGATTCAAACGGAATCCAAGTAATATATCTACCACGTCTCTCTATAATTTTGGTCCTGCATACAAGCAATCGTTTAGAGAGATACCAGACACTCCCCGAGCAGAGCCATCGAAAACAACCCGCAACTTTAGGTTCTCTCCTTCACCCTTGCAAATTCCATGGTGAGGAATAAATACGTTCCTGGTGTTGTAGTAAGGGACATATGGTTTTGTTTCTCGTATTCTTCCATGAAGTTGTAATAGTGTGAATAAAGAACTTCATCCTTGGCAAGTTTGTGTTCCAACTGAACAAATCGTTTTATTGTGACCGCTTTGGAACCCAACAGTGACGGATAAATATTCTTACGTAGTGGTAAAGGAACCACAAATCKTCCGTCTTTATCTCGCTCGGTTTCTGTTCGGAAAATTTCTTCACAACGCCCTTCTTCGGTGAACTTTACCGGAGCTTCAGCTGGTTCTTCGATCGACCAGAACTTTTCCATCATGGACTCTACTGAACTAGTCATACACACGGATTTCATTGAAACGATTTCGATGTCTGGGGAGGCAACAGATCCGAGAAGTACCCAACCGAACTTGGTACTAAACACCGAGGGTAATCCAGATCCTAAGACAACTGAACGATCGCCCCAAACTAAAGGAAATACATCGGCTCCAAGTTGCAACTCTATTGGAGCTGGCCTGTCAAAGCTAGGATCGGCAAGATCTAGATGGCCACATTTATTGTGGATAATAGACGGAAGCTGTTTAGCTGGTAGATCAATTGTGATCCGAGGAAGAACAAAAGCCTTTACTAAAAACTCTGGTGGGTTTTGCGACCTGGGAATCACCTGACAAGTAGTCACTCCTGATACGCTGAAAAAACTTTGACCCGACAATCCAGAAATGGGAACAGTCCATTTGGAGATCCTGAGACCCAAGTGTATGACGCAATCCAATGTGATGGCGCTTATCTGTGAAGCGGAATATATTAATCCCCTGACAGTGTGAATCGTTCCATTGGCATCTTTGACGTGTACCAGCACTGTTCCCAACAACACTGATACAGAATCATGACTTCCTAAACATGAAGTCTGTGGAATAAGGTTGACCGGTTCTGGAACTACTTCACGATGTAGCAAACTATGGTGTTGATGAGTGCACACCTGACACTTCAGTTTGCACTTGTTTGCCCAATGCCCTTCTCCAGAGCACACTAAGCATAACCGATGACCAGTGACTAATTTAAATCGTTCATCGACCGTCAACTGCCGAAAACGATCACAATCAGCTAACGAATGATTTGAGCCACAACAACGGCACTTAATATTTGAGGATCTTGAGGTCACCAAGGCAGTTGGACGCTTGGCGTGCGATTGCTGTTCCATCTTCTTTTTTACTGTTCCGAAAATCGTCAAAGGTTTTTTCTCTACCGAAGACCTTACTGAGCCAGACGATGGTCTAACTTGGGCAMCTCCGTTTTCCACAACTTGGAGACGACGTTTCACAAACTGGCTAAGCTCATCAAAGCTTGGAAATGTTGCTTTATTTTCGGCTTCGAACAGTTTTCGACTGATTATTGGCAACGTCCTTGACACCAAAACAAATAAAATGAAGGATCCGAGATCTGGAATCTCCAAACTTTGTAATATGGCAACATCTTCGTCAAACCGGTTTAGGAATTCCGTGAGTGTATCTGGATTTTCCTGGGTGGATATAGAAGCTGACAACAAATCATCCAAAATATCTGACGCCAACGAACGGGGTTTATCATATTGGTGGACCAACGTGTCCCAAGCAAATTTATATGTATTCGCTGATACCGTTATTACCTTTAACACTTCTGCAGGATCTTCGTTCAAGCAACCTAACGAATAATACAATTTGTCCACATCAGCTATTTCAGGATCATTGTGAACAACCGTCATAAAACGATCTCGAAATACCGGCCAATTTTTCAATTTTCCGTCAAATTTAGGAAGAGGTATCTCAGGCAATCGGTAAGCACGTTTCTGGACCAACTCAGTCGGAGCTTTAGGCAACGAAGAGGACGTAGAATCACCATCGGTCGATGTAGTTTGTTTCAAAACAACAGAGCCATCTGATCTGTCACCCACCCTGGCAGAATACTTAAGGGCTACTGCCTTAATACTCGTCACCAGATTACTCACTCTGATTTCTTCATCATAAGAAAACTCAGTAACACGATCTGCCTCGATCAACTCATCGAGGTAAAAGTCGTTTTCGACGTTGAATCGTTGCCAAAGCTCATCCAGACTATTGACGGCAATTAAAAATTGCGACATGGTTATATCATCCGGTTGAATAATGCTTGCCTGCTGGTGTAAGTCTTCAAAACGASGAATTGTCGAGCTCCTTTTTGCCAGGGCTCGCCTGATTGACTTCTTGATGTAAACCGTGTCCATTATTAAAGAAAATAAGATGAAGACCGGGGTTTAAAATTGCTATACTGCTATTTACAAAATTTACTGCATCCTATTTTACTTCGCCTTACTGCCATTGAAAAGGTGCAACAAAAAATGGCTAACAACTAAGAAATTATTGGCAGTCACTTGGTTACAATAAGTGGAGAATGGTCTCGTCGTAAACTTGTTGAATTACCCAAAATTGGAGGTTTTTTACAACATTTAATACCTTTGACAACAATGGAACATTATCATGTACTGGTCAATACGTTAAAAAAGGTTGAGCATAAACAAAAGTTGGTGAGTAAAATATGAATTTAATGTTATAAAAATATAATTAAAATATGTTTGATCAACATTTAGTTAACTGGTTTTATTTGGTTATAATTCATAATTCTAATTCTTCTCTTATGAAAATTAAATTATTGTATTGTTAATGAATTACAAATAAATAAAGTACCTTATTGCCTATTGGGTACTCAGATGTAGTAAATATTATTAAATTATTTATGCTTGTTACTTGTTGTAGATTGTATATTTGCATTCGGCTGTATCAAAAGTCCAATCAATGGAAATAGGTACAGTAATTTTAAGAGTACTAGACATCATTATTTCTAAACAATTATTAATGGAGTTCACTTTCAAAGGCACTAAAACTAAGCCAGCATTTTTTGAAAGTGTTTTATATAAAATATTGGACGGTAAAATCATTGTCTATATCTTAATTATGTCAACAAAAAAATCCATAACCTGCTTTTTGTGTTACATGTGTTACAGAAGTTACAGTTGGGCTTCAGAAATCTAAAATTACTTCAGGAGAATTAGACCCATTTGACATTAAAGTGTCAAACCTGGTGAAACACGCGAAGAGGGATTATGAAATAATGGTGAAAAAGTATTCAAACATAAACGAATGTAAATAATCCTAGTCTATAATTTTGAATACAATTATAATATGTGATTTGTTATTTAAACACAATACTTTTATAAATGTACACTGTACTCATACGATACTATAACATATATCTCAGACTTTTTTTATAAATTCACTTAATACATATAGTATAGTATCTACACTTGCTTTTATTGAGTGAAATATAAACACACAAGCGCATTCAACAATTTTTGTTTCAGTMCAACCGACACAAGTAGATAAACAAACATTATAAATATGTATGCATGTATGTACGAACACTAAACTAATTAATAAATTTCTTTTTTGTTGTTATATCTTCTTATACTCGTATTGTTCTACTGATGTTAATTGATTGTATTAATGTTATTAAGGTAGAACTGTGTCTTAATTATGTAGTACATACAAACATACCTACACACAGAATAAGTATTATTATAGGTACATATTATACATTTTCTTACACAATTTGTTTGTACATACATAACACATTCTATAGATAGTTATTATGGATACCTATATAGTGTTCTATATAGGTTCCAGCTCTTTAAACTTAATTCAGCAGTTAAAATTAATTAATTGGCCTATAACAAAAGTCATTACATTACACCTGCCTTTTTTACTCAATCTTCATACTAAGTACATTGAGATATGTTAATTCCTTAATAAAAATAAAATTGTATCCACTCAACCTAACTTATAGGTGTTCGGGGACGTCCAAATTGAGGAGGAGGAGGGCACGGAATTCGTCGAAGTCCAGATGGAGGAAGAGGAGGGCGTGCAAGTTGTCTATGTCTCGGCGGAGAAGGGGGAGGGCGTGGAAATCTTCGACACATTGCGTTTCCGCTGATTTCAAAATGTCTCAGGGTATTGCCCTCCAAATGAGACGGAAGTTCGGAGGAGTGGAACAATTACGTCAACAAAACAAATCAGTCACTGATGTAGCCGTCATTAAGTTGGAACAGAGGGTGATATTTTACTTAATAACTAAAGAACATAATTGACAAAAACCAACTTATCAGTCGATCTATGTTAGTTTAACTAGACTCAAAGAACTATGTACCGAGTTAGAGATTAACAGTCTTGAATGCCCAAAAATGGGATGTGGGCTGGACGGGTTACAATGGGAAACTGTTCACAAAATGTTGCAATTTATTTTAAAAAATACAGGAGTTACAGTTTACGTCTATACGAAAGACGAATTAACAGAAGCAGAGAAAATGCAATTAATTAGAGAACTCCACATAAATCCCTTGGGGGGACATCAAGGGGTAAGCGGAACTTTCAACAGATTGTACACAGAACATCATTGGAAAGGGATGAGAAAACAAATCAAGGAATTTATAAAAAAATGTCTGTCATGCCAAAAAAATAAAACTGCTACGCGGATACCAAAAGAACCTATGGTGATCACCACTACAGCGACCATAGCATTTGAAAAGATTTTCCTCGACGTCGTCGGACCTTTACCACGATCTCATAATGGAAACTCATTAATTCTGGCAATGCAGGATGACCTCACCAAATTTGCATGGGTTTCTCCAATGGAGAACCATGAAGTTAATACAGTAGCACAGAACTTTGTGACTCAATTCTTGTATTTACATGGATTGCCTCAGTCTCGTAACTGACTGTGGTACCGAGTTATTGAGCAAAATATTTAAAGAAGTGTGTATGCTTCTCAAAATCCGCCAGACATCAACCACACCGTACCACCCCAAAGTAATGGGAGTCTTGAGAGGAGCCATCGCACCTTCGGGGAGTATTTGCGGAACTTCATTGAGAAAGATCCACAAAATTGGGATATCAAAATTACGCGATGTTTTGCCATAACTCAACCATCCATTCAGCCACAAAATTTCAACCATACCATTTAGTTTATGGAAACCCAGTGACAATCCCTACATCTCTCACTAATGAGCCAGAGCCTCGATACAACTATAACGACTTTCAATGTGAAATAAAAAAACAGATGCAAGAATCACAATCATTAGCCAGGAATCATTTGTTGAAAGCCAAGGGAAAATCCAAAGAATATTTTGACAGAAACTCAAAGCGACAGGATTTTAACCTAGGAGGTAAGGTTTTGTTACTAGATAAGACATCAAAAAATAAATTAACTCCCAGATGATTGGGACCATTTGAGATACTAGAAACAGATCCTAAACAAAATAATGTTATTCTAAAAAAAAAAAAAGGAAAAGATCAGAGAATTCATCACAATCTTCTAAAAAAAATTTCATGAATGACGACTTATACAATAATTCTGTTCTAGGGTAATTATAATGACAAGACCAAAATCGGGACAGACAGGTTGTATCCTTGTGTTGCTATGGCCTCCGATCATTTTTGCCCAGTATCCTCAAGAACCAMTAGCGAACGTGACCAAGTACCAGAACTACAAAAGCGTCTATTTTAAATTTTTAGGAAATGTAAGAACCTCAAACGCTGGTTGGGACTTAGTCACTTATATAGATTTTAACAAGTACGTTTTGAGATATACAGAGTTAGAGTCATTATATAATAACACCGCAGACATTTGTTCAATGATTACACAGAACTTTGAGAATTCAGATAATTCCCATACATGCCAACTATTTGCACAAGCAACACTRCCTTATCTGTTTGAGATCCAGACAAACCATCAGACTATCCTGTCATCAATTGGACCAAAGATCGCTACAATAGATAGAATTCGTCGTGGGTTTGGGAATACCTTGAAGCGTTTGGCCAACGTTCTTTATGGAATTTCTTCAAACCTTGATTACGAATTAATATTTAACAAGATCATTGATTTTACATACAATAAACAGACTAATACAGATTTAATAAAGAAAAATCTTAGAATATTCCAAACAGAWATAAGTGAAACAAATAGAACATTGGATGAGATCAAAGAAATTCAACAGAGATTTGAAAATAATGTCAAATACTTGAATGAACAGGTGAGACAAAATACGCAAGAAATTAACGAATTAAAAATAAAATCAAAGTTGCTAGAACAATCAGTGCTTATCGAAATAATTTTGAATCAGTATGCTTACGACATGCAAAACATAATAGCGATCATCAATTCAGCAACTAATGGTAAAATCCATACAAGTGTGATACCATTAAACAAGTGGTTGACTGAACTCATGGAAATTGAACTTATGCTATCTAAAGGAACACGCCTTCCATTAGATGTAACTGCAGAATCCATTCCCGAATTCATTAGTATATATGAGACTACAATATTTCAAAAAAATCATTTTTTAATATTCGTTGCAAACATTCCATTAATATCAGAGGACGAGTATATGTTATACCGTCCAATTCCGTTACCAATAATTTATGAAGGGAATAGTTTGATTTTAATTGAAACACAAATAGAAAATCTCGCTCTCAGTAAGGATAGCAAACGTTTCCTAGCGTTAACAAATAAACAATGGGAAACATGTAAACCTCTAAGCCATTACACATTATATAAAGGTTGACAATTCTTACACCATAGATCTAAATCAAATTTATGTGAATTAGCAATTCATAAAAAAAACCTAGACCCTCGATCATGCAAAATTAAATTTGTAATGTCAGATATAACTATTTGGCATCACTTGACATCATCAAACTCGTGGTTATTTTATACACAAGGTGAAACTCTAGTAGTTAATTGCAATGATCTCTCCAGAACCTACGAATTAGAGATCTCTGGTTGTAGGTAAATTGACCATCCTACCTTCGTGTGAACTTCACACACATGATTCAATTTTGTTACCATCAGAAAAATCAGATTTAGAACAAAACCTAGATAATATTATTCCTGAAAATTCGAAAGTAAATGTAAAATTTTTTGTAATGGAAATGTTAAACTCAGTGATACCACAATACTTAACAAAATTGCAATTACCTAATCAAAGACTTAATAGAATTTGCGAAACAGTTGAAAGAATTAGATAAGTTACAAAAAATTATACCAGAACCTTCTTTTATTATTAATGTAAACTTTCATCTAGCCATAATGTACAGTACATTGACTGTAAGCCTTACAATTACAATTATTTTAGTGTATTATTTTATATAAAAAAAAAAATGTTAAGTTGTACAA